AGGTCGTTTTGCGAGCCAATGCTAACTACCATTAACTGGAAGTCTGTGATAACTCCTTGCATGCTAGCAGTTATCATAGACTTCCAGTCATTGCGCTAACGCTAGTTAGCTAACACTAGTTAGCAACTTCCTTCAAACTGCATTCAGAGACATAAAAATAGTCTCCACGAGTTCATCTGACTCTGGGGAAGTAGATAAAGAGCCTCATTGCCAAAATCCAGAAGTATGCCTTTAAGTGTGATCTTAATGAGTGCTTGTTTCCTTTGAAATGGGGTAATAATAATAATAATAATAATATGCCATTTAGCAGACGCTTTTATCCAAAGCGACTTACAGTCATGCGTGCATACATTTTTGTGTATGGGTGGTCCCGGGGATCGAACCCACAACCTTGGCGTTACAAGCGCCGTGCTCTACCAGCTGAGCTACAGAGGACCACGGGTCTGTTTGAATAGACTAAAATGAACAGCTTTGTATGAGTTTTAAAAACATGGCATGTTAGCTCAATCCTGGTGGCGCAGTGGACTAATTCCATGGATAGAGAACAGAAGATTGTTGGTTTGAATTTCACTGATGCTGTGCCACAATAAAAAAATAAATGTGTTTGCATGATTTATGCCTAAACAAATGAATGTGTGCTTGGAGTTCAAAACAGTGAAAACAACTATTAAAAACTATTGATAACAACTACTAAGCTAGCAGTGTTAATAAAAGGGTAATTGAAACGTTCTCAGAACGTAATTGAATTACCTTCAAACAACCTATAATTTTCCATCTCAGAACGTTAATAAAACCTCCCAGGAATACTTTCTCAGAACCTCCGTGCAACCTAAAAATGTACGCTCCGACCAGACACGCCTCTATGGGTTTCTTCACGGTACCCAAACCAAAAACAGATTTAATGCGTCGCTCAGTTATGTATAGAGCCATGTCATTGCGGAATGCTCTGCCACCAGAGGTTACTCAGGCAAAAAGCAGGTTTAGCTTTAAAAAAAACATTTTATCACAGCACCTCTCCTCTTTCTAAATATCTAATTTAACTGTATATGAATAGTGTGTAAATAGTATTTTTGAGAATGACACAAATATTAATTTTCACAAAGTCTGCTGCCTCAGTTTTTATGATGGCAATTTGCATATACTCCAGAATGTTATGAAGAGTGATCAGATGAATTGCAATTAATTGCAAAGTCCCTCTTTGCCATGAAAATGAACTTATTCCCCAAAAAACATTTCCACTGCATTTCAGCCCTGCCACATAAGGACCAGCTAACATCATGTCAGTGATTCTCTCGTTAACACAGGTGAGAGTGTTGACGAGGACAAGGCTGGAAGCTTTAAAAGGAGGGTGGTGCTTGAAATCATTGTTCTTCCTCTGTTAACCATGGTTACCTGCAAGGAAACACGTGCCGTCATCATTGCTTTGCACAAAAAGTGCTTCACAGGCAAGTATATTGCTGCTAGTAAGATTGCACCTAAATCAACCGTTTATCGGATCATCAAGAACTTCAAGGAGAGAGGTTCAATTGTTGTGAAGAAGGCTTCAGGGCATCCAAGAAAGTCCAGCAAGCGCCAGGACCGTCTCCTAAAGTTGATTCAGCTGCGGGATCGAGGCACCACCAGTGCAGAGCTTGCTCAGGAATGGCAGCAGGCAGGTGTGAGTGCATCTGCACGCACAGTGAGGCGAAGACCTTTGGAGGATGGCCTGGTGTCAAGAAGGGCAGCAAGGAAGCCACTTCTCTCCAACAAAAACATCAGGGACAGACTGATATTCTGCAAAAGGTACAGGGATTGGACTGCTGAAAAATATCTAAAAACACTGAAGCAGCAAACTTTGTGAAGACCAATACTTGTGTCATTCTCAAAACTTTTGACCACGACTGTATATATTATTTTATTTAGAATTTAAAGTAATATCTTGTTGTTCTTGTCTATTACTGTTCTGTACTTTGTCATGTATTTGTACATTTTATGTGGACCCCAGGAAGACTAGCTGTGCAGTAGCTAATGGGGACCCTAATAAACTAAACTCAACAGGCAACATTTTCACTTCCGTTCTCAGAATGTTTAAAAAACGTTCAGTTTTCATTCCCAGAACCATTGGGAAACCAAAACTTCCAAGGAACCAAATGTGCTAGCTGGGTAAGGTGAAGATTCCGCACATATGAATTGCCCTTTTACAATTCCTCACAAAACTAATAAGGTTAGTTTGAAATAATCTTTTAGCATTTGCCATTTCAATGGAGCCAGGCAGTCACGGTCATCAAGCTCTGTGAAAACAAGGAACAACCAACATTTTATAGCAGTTCATAGGAATTATTATTACTTGGTCATAAATAGCACAACATTACGTGGTTTCTTGACATATTCATTAAATATCAATAAAACATGATAAGAAGGTTATTTTCCTAGAAGGTCAACCTTATTATGTTGCTGACAGGGAAAGTCAAAATATCCTTTATCTCTCACAACTTTATGGCAATGATAATTTTTGCACATAACTGACCAGACATTTGCATGCATTCGGAAAGTATTCAGACCCCTTTACTTTTTCCACATTTTGTTACGTTACAGGCTTATTCTGAAATCTACACACAATACCCCATAATGACAAAGCAAAAACAGGTTTAGAAATGTTTGCTAAAATAAATACAAATAAAACTGAAATACCTTATTTACATAAGTATTCAGACCCTTTGCTATGAGACTCAAAATTAAGCTCAGGTGCATCCTGTTTCCATTGATCATCCTTGAGATGTTTCTACAACTTGGAGTCCACCTGTGGTAAATTCAATTGATTGGACATGATTTGGAAAGGCACACACCTGTCTATATAAGGTCCCACAGTTGACAGTGCATGTCAGACAACACCAAGCTATGAGGTCGAAGGAATTTTCTGTAGAGCTCCGAGACAGGATTGTGTCGAGGCACAGATCTGGGGAAGGGTATCAAAACATTTCTGCAGCATTGAAGGTCCCCAAGAACACAGTAGCCTCAATCATTCTTAAATGGAAGAAATTTGGAACCACCAAGACTCTTCCTAGAGCTGGCCACCCGGCCAAACTGAGCAATCGGGGGAGAAGGGCCTTGGTCAGTGAGGTAAACAAGAACCCAAAGGTCACACTGACAGACCTCCAGAGTTAATCTGTGGCAATGGGAGAACCTTCCAGAAGGACAACCATCTCTGCAGCACTCCACCAATCAGGCCTATATGCTAGAGTGGCCAGACGGAAGCCACTCCTCAGTAAAAGGCACATGACAGCCCGCTTGGAGTTTGCCAAAAGGCACCTAAAGGACTCTCAGACCATGAGAAACAACAGTCTCTGGTCTGATGAAACCAAGATTGAACTCTTTGGACTTAATGCCAAGCGTCACATCTGGAGGAAACCTGGCACCATCCCTACGGTGAAGCATGGTGATGGCAGCATCATGCTGTGGGGATGTTTTTCAGCGGCAGGGACTGCGAGACTCGTCAGGACCGAGGGAAAGATGAACGAAGCAAAGTACAGAGAGATCCTTGATGAAAACCTGCTCCAGAGCGCTCAGGACCTCAGACTGGGGCGAAGGTTCACCTTCCAACAGGACAACGACCCTAAGCACACAGCCAAGACAATGCAGGAGTGCCTTCGGGACAGGTCTCTGAATGTCCTTAATTGGCAGAGCCAGAGCCCGGACTTGAATCTCTGGAGAGACCTGAAAATAGCTGTGCAGCAATGCTCCCCATCCAACCTGACAGAGCTTGAGAGGATCTGCAGAGAGGAATGGGAGAAACTCCCCAAATACAGGTGTGCCAAGCTTGTAGCATCATACCCAAGAAGACTCGAGGCTGTAATCGCTGTCAAAGCTTCTTCAACAAAGTACTGAGTAAAGGGTCTGAATACTTATGTAAATGTGATATCAGTTGTTTTTATTTTATAAATTTGCCAAAATTTATAAAAACATGTTTTTGCTTTGTCATTATGGGGTATTGTGTGTATATTGATTAGGGAAATCAAGTTAATACATTTTAGAATAAGGCTGTAACTTAACAAAATGTGGAAAAAGGAAAAGGGTATCAATACTTTCCGAATGCACTGTATTTATGTAAAAAAAATGTCACATGCCATCTTAGTGCTTGTTTGTCAGATATCCAGTTCTATGATCAGATGTGATAGGACCTCTTAAAAACACGAGGTAGAAACAGGGCCAGTACACAGCTTGGTATTGTGTGTGAGCCTCACATGCTAGGGTCTATATAAGGGTTGTCATGTGCACCATGTTGCCATATGACCAAAGACATTGGTCTTCTGCAATGTCACTGATAAATGTAGTCTCTAGATTTAAAGAGATAATACATCTGGTAAATGTAGTCTCTAGATTTGAAGAGATAATACATCTGGTAAATGTAGTCTCTAGATTTAAAGAGATAATACGTCTGGTAAATGTAGTCTCTAGATTTAAAGAGATAATACATCTGGTAAATGTGGTCTCTAGATTTAAAGAGATAATACGTCTGGTAAATGTAGTCTCTCGATTTAAAGAGATAATACATCTAATAAATGTAGTCTCTCGATTTAAAGAGAATCTAATCTGGTAAATGTAGCACTGTAATGTCATTAAGGCATGTTGTTGTGTAAAGCAACATATACAGAAATGTAAATCTTTACAAATTCACGTTATTTCCATTTTATTTTAGACATTTTATATAAAGTTATGTTATATAAAAATACAATAAACAATATTTAGTACAATTCTAGTGCAAAATATATCTTATTTGTGACATACTGTGGATCAAGTATTCATAAATTGGCTTTGACAGAGCTAAGCGCCAGTCTCTCAAAGTTCTCCCTAATCCAAGGGGAATGGGGCATGCTATTCCTGCCTGTGTCCAGTCAGTCACTGTCTCATTCCTGGTCCATGTGTGCACTGCCGTGCTGTGGAATCCCAAACAGGGATGCCAGGACCATGAATAATCCAGGGAATGTTCTGAAGAACATTTAAAGTCTCCCGGTTCCAGCCTCTCATTCGGCATGCTCCCTACAGTAGTTTAAGATTGTGACAGGGCAGGGGCTGGGTGAGGGAACAGTCTCATGCTCTCTACAGTAGTTTAAGCCTCTGGCAGGAGCTGGGTGAGGGAACAGTAGTGTAGGGCAGGGGCTGGGTGAGGGAACAGTAGTGTAGGGCAGGGGCTGGGTGAGGGAACAGTAGTGTAGGGCTGGGGTTGGGTGAGGGAACAGTAGTGTAGGGCAGGGGTTGGGTGAGGGAACAGTAGTGTAGGGCAGGGGCTGGGTGAGGGAACAGTAGTGTAGGGCTGGGGTTGGGTGAGGGAACAGTAGTGTAGGGCAGGGGTTGGGTGAGGGAACAGTAGTGTAGGGCAGGGGTTGGGTGAGGGAACAGTAGTGTAGGGCAGGGGTTGGGTGAAGGAACAGTAGTGTAGGACAGGGGCTGGGTGAGGGAACAGTAGTGTAGGGCAGGGGTTGGGTGAGGGAAGAGTAGTGTAGGGCAGGGGCTGGGTGAGGGAACAGTAGTGTAGGGCAGGGGCTGGGTGAGGGAAGAGTATCATGGTCTCTACAGTAGTTTAAGATTGTGGCAGGACAGGGGTTGGGTGAGGGAACAGTAGTGTAGGGCAGGGCAGGGGCTGGGTGAGGGAACAGTAGTGTAGGGCAGGGGTTGGGTGAGGGAACAGTAGTGTAGGGCAGGGGTTGGGTGAGGGAACAGTAGTGTAGGGCAGGGGTTGGGTGAGGGAACAGTAGTGTAGGGCAGGGGCTGGGTGAGGGAAGAGTAGTGTAGGGCAGGGGCTGGGTGAGGAAACAGTAGTGTAGGGCAGGGGTTTGGGTGAGGGAACAGTAGTGTAGGGCAGGGGTTGGGTGAGGGAACAGTAGTGTAGGGCAGGGTTGGGTGAGGGAACAGTAGTGTAGGGCAGGGGTTGGGTGAGGGAACAGTAGTGTAGGGCAGGGGCTGGGTGAGGGAACAGTAGTGTAGGGCAGGGGCTGGGTGAGGGAACAGTAGTGTAGGGCAGGGGTTGGGTGAGGGAACAGTAGTGTAGGGCAGGGGCTGGGTGAGGGAACAGTAGTGTAGGGCAGGGGCTGGGTGAGGGAAGAGTAGTGTAGGGCATGGGCTTGGGTGAGGGAACAGTAGTTTAGGGCCTGTAGGGGTTGGGTGAGGGAACAGTAGTGTAGGCACAGGGGTTGGGTGAGGGAAGAGTAGTGTAGGGCAGGGGCTGGGTGAGGGAACAGTAGTGTAGGGCAGGGGCTGGGTGAGGGAACAGTAGTGTAGGGCAGGGGCTGGGTGAGGGAAGAGTAGTGTAGGGCAGGGGCTGGGTGAGGGAAGAGTAGTGTAGGGCTGGGGCTGGGTGAGGGAAGAGTAGTGTAGGGCAGGGGCTGGGTGAGGGAACAGACTCATGTCCCCTACAGTAGTTTAGGGCTCTGGCAGGGCAGGAGCTGGGTGAGGGAACAGTTACTGGGCCTCCATCTTTGAATAAGCAGTGGATATTAGACAGACTTATGATGGGCAAAATGGAACAAACCATTATCCTCCTTGAACCCTTCTGGCTGACTCCTCTTCTCTGCTAGCCAACTCCACTAGCCAGCAAGCTACAGTAACTCTCTGCATCTACAGTAACACTCTGCATCTACAGTAACACTCTGCATCTGCAGTCCAATGCTCTGCATCTGCATCCACTTCTGTAGATCCACTGACCATTGTTATTGGTCCTCTGGCCAATTCTATTGGTTCCATTGATGATTTTCTCCAGTTCCATTGGCTTATGTAGATGCAACCAGTGTCATCAGTGTTCATTGGTAAACCAAGCGTCAGTCATTATGACACTGCTGTAGTCCTTTGTGATTGATCGATCAATCCATGTGACATCTTTATCACAGATTACCATCACACTTGTAACAACACACATCCTCCATGTTCAGAGGAACATGTTGGTCTGGTACAGTCTGGTCCCCTCTATAGGGACCTGTTCTGAGTGACAGTGGTGTCACAGTAGGACCAGCCTGGTCAGTCCTCAGGCCCAGAGCGGACAGTAACGTCAGCCAGCAGCAGCCCCACGTCGTCCTAACAGGGGTCTGGGACGGGGCTGAGCTGTAGGCCTGCCGCCTCATGGCAAACACAGCGTTGGTGTGGTTGGTAGGGACCTCCACGTTGCAGATCATACCCTCACAGCATGACACACACTCCTTTTCAGGAGAACAAGGAGAGGGAGAGGAGAGAGGGGAGAGGGAGAGAAGAGAGGAGCAGAGGGAGAGAAGAAGAGGATTGAAGAGGAAGAGAAGAGGACGAGAGGGAGAGAAGAGAGGAGAGAGGAGAGAAGAGAGGAGAGAGGAGAGAGGAGAGAGGAAGAGAGGAGAGAGGGAGAGAAGAGAGGAGAGAGGAGAGAAGAGAGGAGAGAGGGAGAGAAGAGAGAGGAGAGAGGAGAGAGGGAGAGAAGAGAGGAGAAAGGAGAGAGTGGAGGAGTGAGTGACAACAAATTCAAAACCCAAGGGCAGCAGTAATGGCAAATACTTTTTAGATTATTCTACAAATGAGCCTGAGTAGATAATGGTTGGTGATGTACTGTGTGTGTGTGGATGGGTTTAGGTGATTTACTGTGTGTGTGGATGAGTTTAGGTGTATGGACTTACAGTGTGACCCATGTCCCTGTGGTGTCTACAGCCAGACGCATGACACTCCTCACGAGCAGCACACTTCTTGGTCACAAACTTGGTCTTGCCGTGACTGGTGAAGTGGTGCACTGTCATACAGAACTGTGTATCTGAGGATGACCAAGAAATATACATTACTCAACTGGCTTGCTGGTTTTGTCATGCATTGGCTAGAACTGCATAATCATCAGCTATTATAACAGTGTAACAGCAATAATAACAATGGTTATTAAGTACTGGTTAGCCCCATCAGTAATGTCAATGAAAACAATAAAGAAATTGATAATATATGACATTATCTACGTGTAACAACAGAGGGAACTCACTCTGTGGACACCACTTGTCCTCAGCCCAGCGGTTGCAGCTGTAGTCGTCTGCAGCTCTCTCACAGGTGAAGCACTTGAAGCTTTTAGGGAATGGAGTGGCTGCAAAGACATGTTTTCACTCAAATTCCTCCTGTTCAAACGTTTCTTTTGATGGATATAAATGTTACTTCAGGTATAAAAAGTTGACGTCATTGTTGAAGAAATGACATAATTTCAACCAGGAAGCAGAAAAGCACCTTCCACAGGAGGTTTGACATTATAGAAGTTGATGCGATCAGCTTTAACCTGGTCACATATGGCCACCAGTGCCAGGAGATGGACAGCGGTAGTGAGGTGTAGAGCCATGGAGAATGACATCTTCACAGTCTCTCTAGCAGTAACCTTCAACACAGACACAGAAAGGATCAGGATGGCTGTGTACATACAAAACAGACATATCACATTTACATAACTATTCAGACCCTTTACTCAGTACTTTGTTGAAGAACCTTTGGCAGCGATTACAGCCTCAAGTCTTCTTGGGTATGAAGCTACAAGCTTGGCACACCTATATTTGGGGAGTTTCACCCATTCTTCTCTGCAGATCCTCTCAAGCTCTGTCAGGTTGGATGGGGAGCATCGCTGCACAGCTATTTTCAGGTTTCTCCAGAGATGTTCGATCAAGTTCATATCCGGGCTCCGGCTGGGCCACTCAAGGACATTCAGAGACTTGTCCCGAAGCCACTCCTGCGTTGTCTTGGCTGTGTGCTTAGGGTCGTTGTCCTGTTGGAAGGTGAACCATCGCCTATGTCTGAGGTCCTGAGTGCTCTGGAGCAGGTTTTCATCAAGGATCTCTCTGTACTTTGCTCCGTTCATCTTTCCCTCGATCCTGACTAGTCTCCCAGTCCCTGCCGCTGAAAAACATCCCCACAGCATGATGCTGCCACCACCATGCTTCACCGTAGGGATGGTGCCAGGTTTCCAGAAGTGACGCTTGGCATTCAGGCCAAAGTGTTCAATCTTCATTTCATCAGACCAGAGAATGTTGTTTCTCATGGTCTGAGAGTCCTTTAGGTGCCTTTTGGCAAACTCCAAGCGGGCTGTCATGTGCCTTTTACTGAGGAGTGGCTTCCGTCTGGCCACTCTACCATAAAGGCCTGATTGGTGGAGTGCTGCAGAGATGGTTGTCCTTCTGGAAGGTTCTCCCATCTCCACAGAGGAACTCTAGAGCTCTGTCAGAGTGACCATCGGGTTCTTGGTCACCTCCCTGACCAAGGCCCTTCTCCCCTGATTGCTCAGTTTGGCCGGGTGGCCAGCTCTAGGAAGAGTCTTGGTGGTTCCAAACTTCTGCCATTTAAGAATGATTGAGGCTACTGTGTTCTTGGGGACCTTCAATGCTGAGAGATCATGAGTCACGGCTCAGAGAGCACACTGGCTCACTGGGATCCCAAGGAGTCCATAGAGGTGCTAAAGAGACTGATCCCTCCCTGTAAAGCTGATATTTGAAGCAGGCAATGTAGAGTAGCATACTGGCCCTTAGGGACCTCTAGGGCCACTTATGAGAGGAGCCAAGAGAGATCGATGGCTGCTCTTTTGGGACCTTTTGATAAACAGAGCAAACAGGCTGAATCTTGGCTTAACATGTTGTTAAATGTTGTTAATATCACATTATTATTATTATCACATTTGTCATCAAGCATCATTAATGTAGTGGTCGTTTTAAGTGACAAAGGCAGGCAAAACAGAAGAGTGGAGAGGCCTGAACACAAAGCAGCTTCAGCTGAACAGGAGCCATGTGTCACGTTAAATACCTCAGAGAGAAAGTCTAGCAGCAGATTATTGTGATTCTGATAGCATTACGTTCAAATTCCTCCAATTTGTCATCTTAGATCAAAGAGACAAATATTTTAGAGCCAGAAGTGTCTGCAGGCAGTTGGGTGCAGGATGAACCCCAAGGCACATGATTCAAATATCCAATAAGTTGATTAAATCAACCAGGCGGAATAAGAAGATTCTACAATGTCTCGAAGTCGCTATCTTTAGGCTCTATCTCATCTCCATGTCCTCAGTCCCAGTCTAGAAATTCACTCTCACAGGAGAAAGGCTGAGTCGGAGTTGAAAAAACACACCTTTTGGCATTTCCAAATCACAAGCGGTTGATTCATCACTCGGAAATTGTTACTTAATAACATTATGGAACTATATCGCAATGACATTAGAGTTCGAAAATGCTGACAGTCCGTCATGTATTATTTGTTAAGTAATTAAGGCAATGAAAAACAAGAACACAAAGCTACTTTCCCCATAGGCGATACTCATTGAGTTTTCAGATGACACCCATTTCCTCCTCCTACCTGGTGCAATAGAGGCTGGTGTTGATTCAATCACTTCCTGTGTCTGGGCCGACACCTCAATAACAAATAGACCCAAGTCACCCAACCACTATTACCATTTTATAACCATTCTACAACACACTGACAGTTTCTTTCAGATTAGCATAGAGACACAGACTCAACTGCACTGACAAGTCTTAGGATGTTTAATTTTTCAGCCAAATTTGTAACGATTAGCTAGGTAAAGTAGCATTCCCATAAACAAGAAAGACATGCATAGCATTGACTCACATCATCTAAATGTAATCATTTTTTAGAGGGTGATTGCACAACCAAGAACACGGACTGATTAGATAAGAAGTAAGTGTAATCCCTCCTTTAGTAAAATAAACTGTTCACTACGCCCGGCGGTGAATGTAGCACCTTATCTGTCAATGTGGATTTTCACACCAAAATGACATGCTAATTAAAAGATGAACAGTAGCCTTACCTTAAGTTCAAATCAAGTGAAACCTTATCCACAGAGAAAAGGTAAGAGCCTTGTTTAACCGATCTTTCCGGTCAGGGTGTGTGACAAGATAGACCCCTGGTTTACTAGAAGCACTAGAAGTAATTTCATGCCCTGTCACCCCCTCCTTAAATCAGAGTTCCAAGAGGTCAGCAACCCCCAACTTCCTGACACTGCAGCAATGTGATTGGATGACAGGTTGGGGGAACCATGGGAACAGTCACTATCTATCAGGAGAGTGTCAGCTAGTCTGCCTGCCAGCCCACCTCATTACCAATCACACACACACACACACACACACACACACACACACACACACACACACACACACACACACACACACACACACACACACACACACACACACAGACAGAGGGAGGGGAAAACTCCAAAATACCCCTTATCTAGTGAGTTTGTCCATCAAGCAGCTAAAGGCAGCCCAGATAAAACATGTGCCTGGGAGAGAGAGATTAGTCATATCATGTCACAAGTCATTTCCACCTTTACAAAGCTAAGCCAGGTGGGAGCATGGGAAGAGTTTACAGGCTAGTGCATCGATGTACCTTTTACTGAGTCACAATCTCTAGTATTGAACAGTTAGGTCACAGGAGGCCACAACAGACTTATCAGTTCAGTAATGAGGCACCGTCTCCAAACATCTTAGCATACCGGTAAGTAACTAATCTGCTACACACTCCCCATTATCAAACACTGAGTGGAAACAGTATAATTGATAAGACTGAGTTTGTGCTCTTTTGAAATGACTAGGTTATCTCTGGTTTCAGTACTAACTACAAAACATCACCTTCCTTGAACCCCATTCCCCTCTTCCTCTATTCCCCTCTTCCTCGAATCCCCTCTTCCTCTATTCCCTTCTTCCTCGATTCCCTTCTTCCTCTATTCCCCTCTTCCTCTATTCCCCTCTTCCTCTATTCCCCTCTTCCTCTATTCCCCTCTTCCTCTATTCCCCTCTTCCTCTATTCCCCTCTTCCTCTATTCCTTTAGGAAATCAGCAGGTCTTTCCCATGAAGGTCACTGGGATCAGTGTAGGGATCCAGTTCCCATGCTGAGGAAGGAAAGGAGTCGGGAAGGGGCACAATCACTTCTAAGCTTATTCTCTGCAGGGTTCCAGACATTTTTAAGAGGGGTTTTAACCACTTCCAGAGTTCTGAGTTCCGGAGTTCCGGTGAAGATCAGCTATGTCTGGAAAACACATTCCATTGGAGCGGTGCACCTGACTGGCTTGCTCAGTTAACCAACCAGCACCTAGCTCTGATAACACAGTATATGTGAGGAGAACACAGCACAGCAGCCTATTTTTCTGCAGCTTTTAATTTAAGTCCCTCGGCTTTGCTTCACTGAGTCAGGTTGAAAATTGCCCCTGTGCATGCAAACTGCTAAGGATTTTTATTCTCCATGTGGGTTACCATGAGAAGCTCATTTCGTATTTAAGGCGGTCGGCTTTCTGGTGAATTCCTCAGTGAATGGTCACGGTCACACTAAAATCTTTGCAGTATGTTGAGTGTTGACCCAGGAGATTTGCATGCAATAACTTTTTTACAATTATATAGTATAGATTTTTTTTTATATCTGTGTCCATATTGTCCATCTATTGACTTTTTTCACAACTGCCACCAGTTTGAAACCAAAACACTGACAACAAATACATATTGACATAGTAAAAAAAATAAGTGTGTAAAAAAATAAGGATATTTCATGCGGAAACCCTCATATTAAACACCAATGGTATTCACTAAGTTGTTGGTTTATATTTAGGATAATGTTTTACAGCTTTGTCATTCTATTGTTTATTTTAAAATCATCTTATTTAATTATTTCATATATTTTACATGTGATAAGGCCACACAGAGGGCCAGAGATAATTATAGACACCTGTGATAATCTGAAATACCCAAAAGGGCCACTATATGTCTTGTGATAGATTACATAAAATCCCTTAAAGCTGTAATATGTAACTTTTTGGGGCACCTGACCAAATTCACATAGAAATGTGTGTTACAGATCTGTCATTCTCATTGAATGCAAGGCTAAGAAGTTAATCTGTTCTAGGTGTGCTATTTCTATGCTTCCCGTTTTTAAGTTTAGTTTTTGTGTCTTTTACTTTCGGTTTTGTACACCAGCTTCAAACAGCTGAAAATACAATATTCTTGGTTATGGAAAATATATTTCACAGTGGTTTAGATGGTATAATAAATTCTCTACACTATCCTTGCTTGTTTTGTCACATAAACAAAAATGTGGCGAACTATTCGAATTTTAGCAACCAGGAAATGGCAGAGCGATTTTAAAGTCTCACTGCCTCCTTCTCACAAATGATCCCAAAAATATACAAATTAAATAAAGTTGGTTCAACACAGTGGCGGGTCATTTTGACCCTAGGACAACGGGAGGGTAAAAAAAAAAATCAAAGTTCTGGTAGTTTACTGGCAAACTTCGAAAGTTTCCAGTAATATACCCTCCCTTTGCAACCCTAGATATGACCATTAAATTAAAGTAATGTAAATCATAGGCAATATATCCCAACTGTGACATCTCCTATAAGTCATTT